CCACACCCCCAGCCCCCCACCCCCTCTCTTTCTCCCGTTCTCTCCCTCACACACACACACACACACACACACACAGTAGGAGAGAGAGACGGTCAGTGATACTGGCGGCTCATTGTTGGTTCCATTTTTACGCAAGGCAGGCACGCGCCACTTGGAACTCAGGGGGAAATCACTGTGAAGGTTTTCTGTAAAACCTCTCCTGTTCATTTGTAGCTGCAAAAATATCCTTGCTGCTGATCCACAATCGTCAAAGTTGCACAGTTTGCCAGTCTTGTCAGTTACTCAGTCAGTTGTCAGTAAGACCTTTACCCAAATAGTGCTGCTCTTAACTCAGCCACGTCGGTCTAAACCCGTGCGTCATGGACAAAAAGATACTAGTCTTAGACTTAGTCTGATTGAATTAAAACCAAAGAAAAAAGAAAGAAAGGAAGGAAGCTTACCCGAATCTATAAATCCGTTTGCATGATCACTGGTGGTCGGAAAGGATCCAGATTGGTCCCAGGTTGAAGACACTGTCCCTCCTACTTCAACTCCACTGCTTTCATTTTTCAGCTATTAAGAGATGAAATCCCTTTTCAAAGAGTCCGCTTCCCAGGTCCCACAGGTCCAAGAGCCTCAGGAGCCGGAGGCAGGAGTGAGAGGGACGGTCACTGACACCTCAACTCCAACACTGCTGGAGCCCGCTGGAGGACGTGCTCCAGCCTGTCTTCATCTCCATGGGTCCCATTTTAAAGAATCACCAGACTGAGGAGAAAGTCTTCAAAAGTGCGTCAGTCCACCCTGAAAGAGAAGCTGGAACTCATATATTTTAGTCTCTTTGAGAAACCAAAAAAATGGGAAACATCTGTCACTCACACGCGTACGCGCAAACACGCACAGACACCAGGGTTGTTTAGGTGAGCGCGGCTGTCACACGCTGGGAGGCGTTAGTCGCCGGAGAGATGCTGATGAGAAGGAGAAGGAGAGAGGGAGTGAGTGATGGTTATGGTGATGCAGTGATAGTTGCGCTCCCGTCGCTCCTCCCGAGCGGGGATCGATTGGACACAAGGAATGCGGTGCGAGTCCCGTCTTCCCTTATTCAGAACACGTGCAAACAGCGCCCGCCCAGTTCAACAGCTCCCAAGAACTCCCCACCTCCACCCTCCACCCTCCACCTTCCTCTTCACTGATGTCATGTAGTTTACAAGTACACAGCCAGCACTGTTGGAGGACTGGAGGGGACGAGCTGCACGTCCAAGGAGATTCACACCTTTTATGTTGTCGTTAACACTTGTCGTGTCGTGATGGATGGATATCAAATATTTTACTCACCTACTTGTTGGGTTTTTCCGACAATGGTTGCTCTCATAAAAGTGGCAGCTTCAATAATAAATATTGAAGTGAATAAGAAGACTGCTCTTTGTGGCCAGAACGAAAATACAATTAAGGTTTTAACGTGTTAGTTTTATCGACATTTAATCGTCAATGGTTCATTGGCGGCCTACAGGATGTAGTCCAACTTTAACCGACATCAGGGTGATTGGATGGAACTATATGAGCCGGTCCGTGATCACTAACCTTGTGAGTGACTCAGTGACTCACTCGTCCTACTGACACTTTCCTTTTATACACGGAGACGTGCGACGCTGTGCTCGCGTGGCTCGTGAACAGTGTCGTCTCAATTTACCCCTAACCCCCAAAACCCTCACCCCCCGACGAGATGTTAAGCGGAATTTAATCACAGCCACCTCTTCATTACACAGAAGGAGACAGCCTATCAATTATTCCATCCCCGGACTACACACCAGTGCGTTGATGGCGATTGATTGCTCTGCGCTGTATATTTGCAGTCGTTAAGACATAGAGGGGGGTCGATGCCTGCTAACGACCCCAAGGTGAGGAGTATCAGATACATTCTCATGTCTTTGTCGTTGCGTTTATGGCCAGTTTAGAAACCACGGGCGAGCCAACGAGGAGAGCTGTTGATGGGATCAGTTTATGGACACCTGCCTTTTACTTAACCTATGCAAAAGTATACATTAAAAAAAAACAATAAATACCAATGTAGTATTGGGCAATTTATAACAACCTTGTCTCGACTCTATTCTTGTGCACGGGTGAGAGAGTCGTTGTTTTTGTTTTTTGTTTGTTTTTTTTTTTCAACCGATTCATCTGAACTTGAATCTGTTACAAATCGATCTGTCTGCGTTTGAACTGAGAAAAGATTAGACACCGATATAGGGTTTGCCAAGTGCGAAACCCCTCAGATGCAGAAGTCAGATAAACACATTAAACTAAAGTGAGAAAGGGAAAAATGAAGAAGAAAAAAAGAACGTTTCAGCACCATGGACAGATTCGACAGCATATAAATTCAGCACCACGGACAGCTCCGAGTCGTCCTGTTTACTGTCAAAGTGCTTAATCCAGTTTTCAGACAAACCAGACAAATGGACTTTGACTGGGGTGTGTGGGGGGGAGTTTGTGTTGGAGGTGTGAAAAAATAATGTATCCTGTCTGCGTCCGCACTGACACGTACTGTTGTGTCTACACTACACTGGACCGGTGTGTCGCAGAGGGGATCGCAGGCCTTTTATACCTATAAGTGAAGCAGCTAATGGATGCAACAGCCCGCAGCACTTATCTCATCTATCATCCCTCTCATGGAGGGAGCCAGCATCGTGTCGGAGCAAAAACCCACATTATGTTACGCAAACACTCTGCTGGACTTTTAAAGTGTGGGGGGTGAACGGTGTGAAATGTAATTTACTCCCCACCTCACACTTCCCGTTACATTTCTACTTTGCTCTTATAAGTTCTGCCAGTGTGTTACAATACAATGAGCATTCGTCTGCTCTGCATCTGCTGCAGCACTGACTCCTGAGGTCATCCCATCGTCCGTCCTGAAGGGGTTAAGACCGTGCAGACACTGGTCGTCCCGAAGTGCACTGTCAGATAAGAAGAGCCACGAAATCAAAAAAGGAAAACTACGGAGCTGCTTTGGCCTCAAAACATATTTGACACAGAGGACGTGACTCTTGGGCAATGAGTAGATCACTGCATTATGTCACTGTCAATGGTGACGTTAAAATGCAAGATTAATCCAACACCAATAATAAAAGGTCAAAGGTTGTGGTGGTGTTAAGTGGGGTCACGTCACATCACTGGTCCAGCCGGTGGAAAACAAGACCACCAAAGCGTGGCTGTTGGAAAATGCTGAATGTTTAAATGTCCAAAGGCTAACACTACAAGACCAAACACACGAGGGCACAAGGATGGGTTTGTAATTACCAAAGAACAAAGACTTTCAACTTTTCTTCTTGGTCTCTGCTTCAGAACTGAAACACCGGCCGGATTATCCTGTCACTTTTCATACTGTGTCCGTCTCGTTTGCGTCCTCTTCCACTCCACTGCTGGGCTTGAAGACCTGCGCTAAAACAACAGGACATGGTAATCGATTTGGAAACGCCACGAAGGTTAATGAGAGCAGACATCATGGTTCCTCTGCTTTTGATCCCCTCCTTCCATGGAGATGCTTCATTTCTTTATGAGGTCACTGGCAGTAACCCGAGCAGGGCCATAAATAGTGTCCGTGCCAGACAGCTCTGTCAATACTGAGGAGGTTTAGATACAACATCCGCAAAACAGTGAGCAAAAACGAAGCCAAAGAGCGCCAGTGCTGACACCAAAGTTGTGATATTGAAGCAAAATCATCTCAGCAAGCGCTGCCTCCCTGTGACCCGCTGGATATATTGGTGAATACGTTAGAACAGGTCTATCAGGCTCCATCACTGAGCGCAGGGTGAGCACTCAGCTTCATGCGCAGTGTTGTACTGCCCCCCAGTGGCGTGATAGAGCAACTGCTCCCTCTTGGTACTTTTCGAGGCCATTCAGATTTATTATGGTGACAGTAAAACTGAACCAGTGCCCTTTTGCCAGGATCCCTGTTCTCTCTTTTTATCTGAACTTATCTGAAATAATAAAACCAGCTGCAATTAGATGTTTGGGATCAGCAAGAATTGGCGAGACAGCAGCTTTGGTTTCCCCCGCTTCTGAGGTCAGAGATCAAAATTTGATTGATGAAATAAAAATGTATTAAGCCTCTAATGCCCAAAATGGCGGACACAGACAGAAGACATGTGTCAGCGTTTTCAGAGTTATTTATTGCAAAATGTTACTCAGCTTTAGAATATGTAATTGCGACCGAGATCAGCACAAGCCCTGAGCAGAAAAGTCTGAGTCAGTTGAACACGATTTCTTCGATAAATAAAACATCAAGCTTACGGACAGGCCGAAAACCACAAAAAAAAAAAAAAAAGATAGAAAAAGAAAATCTTCTGATCTTTGGGACGTTGCACCAGATTGCATGGAAGTTGTGCTTGTTCTATTACAAGTTAACTGTGGGAGGAAACAACTGGCACAGGATACCTCAACATTTGACTGTGCTGGTTATGCTGATACTTTTACTTTTGATCAAGTACAAAACAGACAGTTACTTCAAAATGATCTTCAGATTTTCAACAGCAACTTCTATGTAGACAAAAGCTCGGGGTTGGGGGAGATGGGGGTCATGTAAACTTTACATACATTCATAAAGCCTGAACAGATGTTTTAACATTAGGCAGACAAAAAGACATTTAATACTGAATAGTCCAGCATGTAATAATAAAGTAGGACTCTGACATGTAGTTCTGTTGTTTGAACTCTGTGACCTCTGGCTTTAAGAAAAAAAGTGCTTTTGCCCTCAAACCTTGCTGCAGATATCAGTGTATAAAACCAGTATCAGTGTATCAGTGTTTTCAGTTATTTTCAGTTATTCATTCATCTTCAACGGCAAAGTTATGTCTTCTGGACAGACTGCCAGTCCATAGCAGAGACACATATAAAGACAAGGGAGTGTACAATTAACTAAATCTGTATTTGGACTGTGGGACAACCAGTTAACATGAGACATTTCTTGCTGTTGGACAACATCACTAACCACTCCACCACCGTTTGGCCCACCAGAAATGCAATGACCTTCGTTTCTTTCCTCCTCCAGTTGATATGGACACATGGAGGCTGGAGCTTCCTTTTTCCTAAACAGTGATTATGTTTTTTTTATCTTTAATCGTATGCTGTTATAATGTGATAAGGTTTGAAATTGTCTTGGATTTTTAACAAAAAGTTTAGTATTAGAGGCAAAAACAGTCCAGTGACTTGGACTCAGGCTGTTTTTTTTTTTTACTGCTGTGCAGTGACAACAAAACCATGAGGACAGAGATATATTACATTCTATATACAGTATGTAATCCAGGAAAACAACCTTTGTTCAGGTGTTATACCTTGTCGTTTGCTATGATCCAGACTAGAAGGTTGTAGATATAAACACAGGACATTGGTCTGATTAACAACCAGAAGTGAATGTCTTTTTTCAATACTGTATCTGACCACTGGGACAAAGACAAGGATGAGGAGAGGGTTCCACTGTTGTTACAGTTGTGTCGTTATAAGTCCTTAAATATTACACGCTGGACTATGTGTCAACGTGTTCTTAATGTAAATACTGCATACATAGAAATAGATACTGATACAAAAATGTCTGGCACTAGAAGTGTCTACTTTACCTTCACTCCATCATATACAGTGTTTATGACAACAATATAACTACATTTTAAAAAATACAATACAACCACTGCTTTCTATATCTTAAAAAAACACCCCCACTGTGAACGCTGTACAGGTAGTCTTTGACTCAGTGCTCCAGACCTCTGGTTTGATAGTCGACGACTCTAAAGACTGCCATCAAGGTGAGATCATAAACAGCTGCTATTGGTTAGATTAGTCAACACCATCATAGTAATAGGGAATATGCAGAAGACATGTCTCACACTGTCCATATGTTCCTACAGCACAAGTCTCATCCTTTAGTTCCTAACAGTCAGTCAATGGTGTTTGACAGCAGTTGGCATCTGTAGTGTTGCTTTACTGCTACATCCTCTCTTAGTCTTTCAAGGTCCTCTTCTACCATGTTTGAAGTTTAAGGTTAATTTTTAAATACGTTAACCCCACTCTCTGGTGAGGTAACTTTTAAAAACCGATTTAGGGTAAACTGAGAGGGAGTCCAGATGGGTCGCGATTACAGCAAATGACGCCAGAAAAGCTGCAGTTTTCCCCCTCACCCACAACTTCATAAAAACCTTACAAAAGACTTTAGAGTTCGTCATGAAGAGACCAGCGCTGCCATTTAGGATGGGCTGTGACGTAATTGGCTGCCTCCAGCACCAGACGCATGAACTCAGCCACATCAAAAGAGTAGTTGGTAAACTTTGGATGGTCGCCCAGAGTGGGATGGTGACCCTGCAAGAGGTGTTGTGAGATAGGTGAAGGAGAGCGCCACAGACCTTTGCTCTAACAGAGCTTCAGTGCTAAGTGCTAAGTTATGGCAATGAATAAACAGACATTTACTTAGTCCTGCAACTTGGACTCAGGCTGTTTGTGCTGTGTTGTGTGTATGTTGTGCTGGTTGTCTTTTTTAGTACTCAGAATGTTGTCACAAGTGCAAAGCAACATGAAGTACCTTCAAAAACAACAATGTTTAACATCTTTTGATGATCTATTTTTTGTGTGCTGACAGATGATTCCTGAATAACTGAAAGCTGCAGTACTCAATATTATCTACATAATGTCAATTTCCAAGAAAAGGAAAAGACGTGAACTGACCAGTGACCACACTCATATGGACATCATAGGAAAACAGAGATGCTTTATACTGAGTTAGTGATGTCAGTGCAGCGGTGTCTCATTACTAAGCAGTTTGTGTTGCATTGCAGTGGTAGTATTATTTTAAGTACAACTACAGGCAGAAGCCATGGTCTGGAAACTGCTGGGCTGTGTTCTGAACCAGCTTATAGTTCTTCTTCAGGGGCAATAAAAGCAGTGGGGGAACACAGCAGTGTAGAGGTCATCTCAGGTTACACACACCACAGGCACACACACACATATACACACACACACACAGTACAGATGACAGCATAGGGCATTTGTTCTGCTGCGTCTGTAATTGGACTCAATTAAATGTGTGCATGCTGCCGCAAGTGAGTGTATGCAAAATGTGTGAAATGAATAGAGTAAGCTCATGCTGAGGGAGCTGATTGTTGGCAACGGGAGTTTCCCCTACCTTGTCCTGTGGGACCACTTTGTCCATTTTCTGCCAAGTCACGTATCGAATGCCCCGAAGCCGAGCCAAATCTCGATAGCAGCTCTCATCCTGACAATTATATCTGGGAGGGACAGACGCAGGCACTTTATCTAGTTCTCTGCTCAGTCTGCCTCACTTTTACCCCTTGCTACCCCCTACCTCTCTCACTGTGTACACACACCCACACTCACACACATTAGCTGTTCTGTATACCCATCAGGGTGTGCAGGTGTGACAAATGCCTGTTTAATTAGGCATTATTTTACCCTCAGATCTTTTCTTCTGTTACTTTTTTTCTTCATCATTCTCCCCCCGTTTCCAACCCTTTGTCTCTCTGCCATAAACACACACACACACACACACACACATAGACACAGATAGGAAGTGTCACTCACAGCTCAAAAATGACAGCCCAGTCAGGGAGGAAGAGGAGATGAGTGAGACCTGCCCCGTGCATCCCTATAAAGATGTCAGAGTTGTAGGTGATCCTCAACTGCTCCAGGAAGGGAACATCCCTGAGAGACAGGCAGACATCAATCTTAGTCATCGTGTCACGTTGTCAGACTACACAAAGAAATAAAGCACAATACTTAACACGTCACTCTTATAGAAAACAGTAACATCCACAGCTGGATGGCAGTACGTTTAATAACGCCACAAAATCTGTGAAAGGAGAAGATTACGTTTCAAAAGCAGATGTTTGTCAGTGTGGTGGCGACCTCACAGGATGACAGTACGGGGCAAGAGAGAATGCTGAGGGGGCAATTGTGATCAGGGACAAATGAGTAGCCCACTTCCTGTGATTTGAACCCAGTTGGACTATTTATACAGTAGTTGACAAAAAAACAAAAACAACCCATCAGTCGTTTGGAACAGGTCAGTGGTCAGGCCATCACCTGGCCACAAACCACCGTTCACACTCACACTAATACCTATGGTCAATTTAGAGTGTGCAGTTATTCTAATGTTTTAGGTTAAAGAAATTACATGTACATCTCATACCAGGAATACATTAGTTACTATGGGAATTGAACTGGTAACAACCAGTCTCTACTGTGTGATTCAACCCAAGCACTCTTTAAAACTCACTTGTATTTGTAGTCCACAACGTTGACCTCCAGGAACGGCACTGTCTTCATGGCATTTACGAGCTGTGACAACAACAACAACAACAACAACAACAACAACAACAACAACAACAACAAGAACAACAGGGTTTGTGTCGTTATTTCAATGACAGAGTGAGAAAACACGGGCAACGATCACACACAGGACAGGCTTTCTGCCCAAATACTTTACAGCTAATAAGATATAAGATGAGAATTTGGGAGAGGTAGACAGACTGTCAGTGCAATAAAGGAGAGGCTGAGGGAATTGGAAAGCTGTGTACAGACAGAAAGAAGTCACAAAACAAGGGGACAAGCATAAATGAAAAAAGTAATAGGACATGTCGAAGGAGAAGGAATGAAGTGCAGGGAAGGAAGAGGCAAGAAGAAGGAAGGAGGGAGGGGGTGAGGGTGGTGCTTCGTCTCACCTCCACTTGGTTTAATATCCTTCTGTATTCTGTGCTGCGTGCCAGCAGTGTGACACGAACACGCCCCTCCTGGAAAAAGCAATGCACCCAATAATCAATCAGCCAAGGACAGGAGAGACAGACAGGTGGGGAAACATGAAGTTCATTTAGAATACATTTAACGCCCTCCTCTGCGGACGGTGATGAGGAGCTGATAAAACAACATGAAAAAGTTCTTTTTTAGGCAGAAACACCGGTTTATTTGTGTGATACACTGTGTACAAGCAGAGCATTGATTTTTTTTTTTTTTTTTGTCCTTTCTATGTTCTTCTACTGCCACCTTGTGTTCTTGAAAAGTAGTTGGGCTTCATTTACCATTTGAACCTTGACTCCCATTAAATAAGAGTAAAACAACTTTGTACACTCATTAAATTAACCTCCACTAGGATACATTCTTGCAACATATATTTATTGAAAATTAATAAATTATTAATTTACGTTCTTTTTTTTTCTTTTTTTTAAAGTATCAAGAAATAATTTATTTTGAGCAGGATCACACAGGATTTTAATAAAAGGGAGCAGGAGTGGGCGGACGAGGGGGAAGAAAAGAACACCACAATGGATGATCGAGGTGGTCTGGGTCTCGGGCTGCGTCATTAATCTAGGGATGAAAGGAAGAACCACTGAGAAGGTCGGGGCCCAGACGACCTCTCGTTCAATAGCCAGTCTGCTATCACTAACAGCCCATGTCTGCTGCTTGAAATCCTCTTAGCATATTTTCAGTTAAAGGCATGAATTTTAAATCATTTCCTTAACAGGAAAGAGGAAGTTATCAGGGTATATGTGGCACGTGGCAGAAAGAGTCATGCTCTGACTCTTTGCTGAATACATTAATGTACACTAGGTGGCATATATGAAATATATAGATAAATAAACTTAAGAAATATACAAGTAGTTATGCAGTAGTTATTAGAGAAGAAAGCAAATATTGTCTGAGAAATAACCCATAAAATCACATTAAATGAGTAACCCAGGATTTGTTTGGGTCACAGGGACATGTTTTTTTTTATTGTTTTCCCCTTTATGCAAATAATTGAGATATGTCTGGGTGAGTATTACACAGAGTAAATGACAGTAACATAAGGTGGATTTCACTGATCAGGGCCAAAGGGATATAAAAACAAATCCATTGTTTAAAAGTAATTTCGTCCAATCTAAGCTTGTCAAACTCCACTTTGGGCTATTTTTTAAAATTTTTCTTAAGCTATTTATGCACTTTATGGAAAAGCTAAGTTTAAAGGAAGTAATGTGGTAAATGTTACAGTTGAGTTAAGCACATATTATTGCTGTATGGCTTTGACATTTACACAATGCTATAGATCTTCACAGTTTGTGTATCCTGTAGAACTGAAAGTGAAAATAAATTAATTCCCTGACCGGGAATCGAACCCGGGCCGCGGCGGTGAGAGCGCCGAATCCTAACCACTAGACCACCAGGGACTGCTGCCAAAGCTCTATAATTAGCAGTTAAGAGCCCCCTACAGCAGCTTTAGTGGTACTACATCTGATGTCTTCATACTTAGGAACCATAAAGTGAAAACAAGGCTCAACTACATTGGAACTACACGGTCATCAATGACCAACTTCTCCACTTCAATTGACAACTAATATTTTTTCCTTTTATTTTAGAACAAAACAGCAGCAATAGTTATTAATTACACATATAGGGTCAAGTGAGTAGATTTTCTCAGTCACTCACCATGACTGTTCAGCACATTCATAACAGTGAACATGACTGGGATGTAATGTCTGTTCAGAATACTAACTAAACAAAAGTACAGATAATTCAAAAATGTATTAAACCACTTATATCTTTCCTACCTTTGGTCCATTTTGTAGTATATTCAGCCGATGGAGGACATGCTGGGAAAATGCTCGAAACATCCCTTCACTGTAACAGTCAGGAATCTGCCATTGGAACGAGACAGGAAATATTCTTTTTTTATATAAATTCTAATTTATAAAAGATAACGTTGACTTCAAGTAATGTAATTAAATTATTTATCATATTAAAAATAATCGCAGAAATACAGGTAATATACAAATAAAAACTATGCTTTCAACAATGTAGAAGGTAAATTGAATCTGTCAACACTCATTCACTGTTATATTGGACTGCACTGAGAAATATGTAACACATTTAGAATGTGACATTGTAAACGTGTTTTATAATGGCTGGAATGAATATGATATGAGCTTATGCATAACTCATGTGAGAGTTTCTCACACTGTTGCCCTGCAGCTGTGAACGTGAACACATGAATATAAACATGACCTGTGCAGTGGAGGCACTGAAACACATCAGCTCCAGGCTGACCCATCAATATTTCACACATCGGGACGGCAACACATATTTATATAGTGTTATCTGCACAGCATTCTGCTGGGAATTATCATTTAAATGACCTAGGCACTTGTTGAGGTTTTGAATGTGTTGCATCAATGTAAATATAAATTTGACGTGTCACGTGTCATAACTATAAAAAAAATAATTCCACCAGGTTATCATAACACTTTAATAAGACTTCAATATAGAGAGGGACACAAATTAGCTGATGTTGACACCAATTTCAGGATGATTTTCTCTACTTAAAAATACTGTCCATACACAGACAAACGTGTGTGAGGTAACTTACGATAGGTGTATTGTAAAAGAGGCCGTATCTCATTCTCGGAAGGAGGGAAAAGAAGGCGTTCTTGAAACAGACCTGCAGACAAGGGTAAGGAGATTCAGGAAAGATACAGATAGTACATGCACTGTGGACATAAACTGGGGTTGCAAAAGTAAAATTAACTTGACTCAACCTGATCAGTCTAGGTACAGGTTAGCAGAGGATGAAAGATGTGAAAAAAAAAATAGATGAGACAATTATCATTTAAATAAAGAACTGAAAATGTTTTGCAATTACATGTGTCTGCTGACAAATGTTAAGAGTATTTGACTTACATTACTTTCTCAAAAAGACAGTATTTGTCTATATAAAACCTTTCATTATTAACATTCTATATTTCTGTATTTCTAGACTAGAGTGGACATAAGAGACACAAAGGTATATTCTTTTATGAAATCAGTGAGAAGCACCAAAATACTTAAGGAACTCTGTCTAAAAAGACCTGCAGTCCACATTCAGGACAAGTTCTTCTCAGCTCATACCTAACTGTTTTTACTGAGTCTTAATCCAGTATAAAACTAGACAAACCACAGGACCGGATCGTAGGTAGCTGATGATTAAATGTTCTTTCAGATTGTCCTTCATGGGGATAATTTAAAAATGAATGGATCTGATCTACACATGTGCAGGGACGCAGCAGACACGGATCATCAAGTCCAACCATTGTACCTACTCTCTTTGAGTCATAGGTCTTCAGGTGAATGACGTCATACTTTGAGAAGGCCTTCCACGTTTCACTGAACAAATCTCCATAATCATGAAAACTCTGAAAAGAAGCAAAAAAATAAAAAATCTTTTGAGTTGGTCATACCTACAGACAGTTTCAAGAGCCTGTCTACTGTTAAACTCAGTCTGCTGTTTTTCTCTGTGGTTTCAGTAAAATTACAATCTACTGGCACAGCATTATCTGACAACCTGAGCCTGTTTGGTTTTCAGTGTGCAGTCTGACTCAAAGGTCATTTCTTTTCTTCTCCCTGTCCGTTTTGTTTCCCTTCTTCTTCTTTTTCTTTTTATCTCTCTTATCCTTCTTCTTTCTGTGCACAGTGGGTCAACAACGGGTCGACTAAGGCTGTCCATAAATCATTCTGTTTGCAGCTACTGTTTCTCCCTGATGTCTGGATCGGACCTCTGCTCCGCTAAGCTGTTCAACGGAAATGTGAAAACAGAAGGCTGTGGTAAAAACCTGCAAGACAGAGTGCATAAATATGGTTCTATCTTGATTAGGTGTTAGACAATGATGAAACAACAATGACGATTTAATGTTGTGACACTTATTGTAACCTGTTGTAACCTTAACGCAGCATAAGGATTTGGGAGATAAAGGAGATTCTATTTCTTAGTAAATGTGATCATCATGTCAACCCACAACCCATCCAATAATAACCTACCGTGTCCCACATAACAATGTTGATGTCAGTGCTGAAGGAGTTGTTAATGTGCTGGGAGATGAAGAGATTGACAAAGTCACAGAAGTGGTGGTACATGTTCACCCCTGTCAGGGAAAAAAAAACACACATTTATTGTGCTGTTACCAAGTCATAACTGTAACTGTGGAAACAAAGGTGGATTCAAATATTACCTACGTGTTCTAAAGCTAAAATAGTATCAAAATATAGTTTGTTACCAAAATGGCTGAAATGTGAATATGACATATAATTTGTGCATTTAAGTGTTATAGCAGTATGTTTTCCAAAGGATAAAAAAAAAATACTGCAGTATCGTTATGCTTTCATGACTAGATCGTTGTTTATTTACCAGCATCCAGCTTCATAAACACCGTAGGTCTTTCAACGATGAGGTCACAGTCTCCATCCTCCACTGGATCAAAGTCCAGCTCTGTGTACATTTGAAGCTCAGCATACCTACAAAAAACACATTATTTCTAGACTCACAGATACATTAGATTGATACTGTAGATAGATTTATATATTTGTAAAAGTCATTGAGCTTCACTTCAATGTTATAAGACCTTTATTTAATTTAGTCGTTGCTGTCAAAAATTTCGAGCCAGCCAGGAGTCGAACCTAGAATCTTCTGATCCGTAGTCAGACGCGTTATCCATTGCGCCACTGGCCCACATGTCACACGCCGTTCATAAAACACAACTTATACCGAAATAACGATACGTATTGTTCCGTTTTGTATTTTTGTTTGTATTGTTAATTTCACATGGTTCCTGACACAAATACAGACTACAAACACTTTGGACCAATTACAGACCGATGGCTGTTCTCAGAAACCCCAAAAGCAGCACGTTTTCGACTCGGGTTCAGAGCTAAGCCCCGCCCCCACTGATGCGCAGGCTGCTGCAGACATGCCTTGTCGGAAGTGGGGGACAATATTTGGCTGCAAATTAGCGGTTTATGTTGACCTACATAAACGGGTTGCAGGAAACTCTAAATAAAATATATGAAGGCAGTGGCACTTGGTCAGGTAAAACAAAACGTTTGCTAGAAATGGCTGTTGACAAATTCTGACAAGAACCAACTGAAAGTTACTGATGATCATCAGCATGAAACAATAAAATTATAAGTATTATTTGCACATTTAAATCTAAAACTGATGTTGCTATTGTCTGAAGAGCGGATGTTGATGTTTGTCTCTACAAATTAGTCTGTCTCTGTAAAAAAAGCCTTTTACCAGTTCCAGTTGTTATCTTACTTAAGTGACGAGAGGTTTGTTTTATTTTGGTTTTGTCATTCGTCTTGTCTGGTTGTACTGTCACCCTTCACAGACGCTGAGGCTAAGTACTCGGTACAGCACGAGGAAATGAGACACACACAGAATACTGTCAACCACACTTCTCAGTGGTTTGACTCTGGTCAAAGTCACCCCACCCACACCCACTGATGTCTGTGTTTCAGTGGTGTGAGACTGAGACTACACCACTGGGGGCAGTGTGACAGCCCAGATGTGATCCCTGGTGGTCTAGTGGTCAAGGTTTGGCTTATCCACTGCTATTGTTAGGGTTGTTCCCCAGTGTGTACAACATTCCATGACAAATTGTTCTCCGTGAGTTTGCGTCCATGCATGTGGTCTCACCAAGACTGCAGAGGGCTTTGGTGTTCTCCTTGAGCAGCGAGTGCTCGTCTGTTCAGTTTGCAGTAGCCGCCGATCTCTGCCTTTTGGATAAAGTCTTCCTTGTATCTGTAGCACAAACACAGATGGGAATCAAGGCCTCATCTCATCACTATGGGAGACAGGCTTTCTTTTAAATTAGATTAGAGATTAGATTAGATAGAACTTTTTTTAATCCCCCAGAGTTCCCTTCAGGGAAGAAAATGGAGCTGTCCAACTGACCTCTCGTGACTTCTGTGTGGCTTACGCAAGTCAAGATAGAGGTTGGTTGCTTTGCAGAATCGTGCGTGGCTACAGCATTTTAACGATGAGTGAGCCTGGAAAATATTACAGATAAGTTTTATTAATACTTTTATTAATACTATTAACACCCAAACGTTGACATTTAGGATTATTTATGTGGTCCATGAAACTGCTTCCAAAGACTCCCAAGGCCGTCTGTCTTTGGACTCCAGCAACAACAATGCTTCTATTTCTACTGGTGGTGTCTTCCTGTTTACTCTGGAGGCCTGTGGGAAACAAGGAAATGAGGAGACTTACAGGTTTGCTGGCCTTGCAGAGTGTTTTGAGTTCGGTGCGACGCTTCTTCACGTAGCCAAAATCAGCCTGATTCCAGAAAAGCTCCCGGGCCGCATCCAGTGACCTAGCCCTGGAAAAACAGACAGGAAATCAGCAAAACAGAATCCAGTATCATGCTATGAATGAATGGACTTTTGATTTAAAATGATACTGCATTTGAGAAATTAAATAAAAAGCAACAAAACAATGAAGTAGGCGAGCAGTTGACGTACCATCCAGAGTCAGCTTTGGTGCATACTGGGTAACTGAAGCGATTCTCTGGAGCACAGTTTTTCTCATAGCCCCAACAGGCAGACGAGTCCAGCAGATCATCCTGTAGGAAAACAAGTGTGTGAAGAAATAAATGTTTTAAAAGCAAGAATTGGTAAAACAGATTCATTGAAAGGGAGATGACAGAGAAAAATGTGCAAATCATGACCCAGTTAAAAAAAATCATTAAAAGAAAATCACACTAAATCCTGGGACATGCCTTCTCTGAATGAATCTAGTATCACCAGAAATACAGAATAAAAACTTTTCTACTTGGTTTAACCATCACATGTAGCAGACCCTGTTCATAACTGGCAGATGACATAATTCCCCACAGTTATTTATCTAGGAGACGAGCTGACTGTTGAGTCTTACCTTAAAGGGGCAGCGAGGGTCCCGGCGACACTGCTTGGCGACTCTCTTGTTGTTGTAGAGGAAGTACGGCACATGCTCTGGTGGCAGGGATTTCAGAAGCTCTGCTGCTGATTGGTAGTTGGTGTTTGCGGCCTCCACGGCGGCAACCACGGAGTAAGAAAACACTAAACCTAGCACTGCCACGAGCAGCATAGTCAAGACTGCACAGACATGTGAGACTGCTGTCCGTCCTCACAGCCCTGTGTGAGAAGACGGAAGACAGAAGACATGTTATTTTTTATCATTTTCAGATGGTTTATTTAAAGTAACAGGAACAAATAATGTATTGTTGAAAGTGACATGCTTTGTGTGCCAGACATTACGTCTCACTTCATTTATAGCCAATGCATATGATGCCAAGCACGAAAATTACTTCTTACAACAAATACAACAAGCATCTGAGAATAATGAAAGGGATTTTTAAAAAGGTATGGCTGCTGGATCAGCCAATACCAGCTTGTGGCTTTGTCTAGTTCTTAAATACTGTCTCCTTGTCCATGTGCCTAGATGTTCTGGTCCCATTTAAAACTTCCCTGGACATTTTAAGTTTTAATCAATTCCTCATTGCAAATCTCTCTTCATTCATTCACTCTTATGAGGCGGTGGCCATTGTTCAGTTGACTACCTGCCCCTCGAAACTGTCTTTGTTGCCGCTGGCGTTATATCAAATCGTTGGTAAAGTTTGAGAAACTCACCCTACTTCTAAACCAAATTAGTCAGTTTTACCGAATTATTCAAGTCTTAACGTAACCGTCGTTTTGTTTCCAAGTGCGTCGGTGAAAACGACACTGAGGTCTTACCGGAATGATACTGTTAAGTTATTACACAGTACAAGTTTTCTTTTGGAAAAGTGGGGTTTAAACTGTATGAAGAGCGACGTGTTAGGAGCTAATATACTGAATAGTGGTTAATAACATGTTGCTTTGGGTATCGTTAAACAACTAAGCCTCATCAGTCATTACAGCTACACCAACAGCCAAAAGATGAGAACGAAATGGAGTGAGGAATTATCAGTTAAACTTTTACACACAACAACCCGCCTCTATTGTATTTCTCTGTGTGAAAAAAACGGCACTCGGTCAAAGCAATACAGTTTACCTGGATGCACAGCCTGCTACACTCCACACTGAGGGCACTGTGTTCTGCCGGCAGTCGCCATAACACCGGAAATCTTAAATATACAATGTTTAATGACAGCCACACAGGGGCGCTGTTTGACCATATAAATGAAGGCGCTGTACGTGGGCTTCAGACGGGACTTGTATACATAGGACTACATATAGTCCGTTTTACCGAATGTACATTTTCGACACAACACTACCAAATGTATTATATATAAATTGATAAGCTAAGTCGGAAGTTAGTGTTTAGCCAAAACACGAACTAAATTTGAGCTAAAAACACATCTAAAATGACGTGTAGCTTATCCAACATAGCCGAAATGTAGCTATTTCTACAGCAAAGACTGTTACATTGCCTGGTAAAAAATTGTAAATTCTACCAAAACCAAAGGCTGTATGAAAACATATGGCTTACACTATGTTTCATCTCATTATTAGGTATAACAATAATGAACTTGTGTTATTACCAAAAAACAGAAATGTTTTTATCATAACTAAAAATATACATCAATGAGTTTGTAATCACTTAGATCGTTTATTCATTTACATATTTATATATAATTTAAAATACACTTTCCTTTCTCTGTTTTCAGATCTAAACCATCTCTTGTGATTTGTAAAGATTTAAAAATACATACAGTACCCTTCTTTGTACAACTCATATATTTGTTGAACCCCCTGGATCAATCGTCGAGAAATAAAGAAGACTGATTTTGTGTAGTGCAAATATGTTATCGACTCCTACAGAAATTAACTGTCTCTACAGTTCTACATCAGATGTATAATTACCAAACATGTCAAAACCATAAACAGAAAGCATAGGTTGGTATCCGATTGACAAACCAGGGCTATCCTTCATACTAATGATGCAATGATATGATGTATGGTCTGGATTATCCCAACACCCTTATTTAAATAAACTATATTATAATGAGGTAACATAAAATATAATTAAAAAAATGTAAGGGATTTTCTTCTTAAACAGATATATTAAAGCCGCTCTCTTTAATGATGTTATGTTTTTATAATGTTTCCTGTGAACGAGTCTAAGTCAGTTAAGTGAATTGCTAGTGGACATATAACTTCAGAAGTCATGGCACTGTAGGAACTTTATTTCTGGTTCCGCAGCAGCTCATCAATCTGGGACTTGTACATGTTCTTTACGTCTTCAAGGTCCAGCCTCAGCTCCTCCGCCTCCTCAGCCTTTTCTCCGTACATCTGCAGGATGGTGTTGTGCCTCTGTTCCAGATCCTACAATAAACATGCCCAAAACTTAAGCAAACCTCACACTGACCTCCTCAGGAGCTTGTTTGGCTACACCTGATGAGTTATATGTACAGTGTGTAGTGCTGTATGTTTAGCCTTTGCCCACCTTTAGCTGAACTTTCAGCTTGGGAATATCCTTCACCTTCTCCTCCATGTCATCATTTTGATTGGTGAGTCGAATTAACTCCTCTGCCATCACAGAACGACTCCTCTCTAAGTTCGAGATTTCGAGCTAAAAAAATAAATATATTTACATTTTGGCGCTGCAGGTTTAGGATTACAATTCTTCTGTTATTTAAAATGTTAATATTGCACTCATGCTAAATTATACCTCCTGATGAAATGAAAACATTTTTCATGCCTAGCTTTTTATTTCGTTGCAAGCAGTACACACAGATCACGCAGCAGATGCGTAGACAGCATGACTAAATGTATGATGTCGCACCTGCAGCTGGGCTATCTCCCCTTCTCTCAGTTTGAGCTGTGACTGGAGGTTTTCTAAGATGCTGGAGCCTCCAGATAACCGTGCAGCCTCATACAGATTGGTTCCACTCATTGACACAGACATGGTCATGGTGCTGAATGAATGCTCTGAAGAGTCATCCTACAGAACATGAAATGAATATATATACAAATATATATATATATATTTAAAAAAAACACACAAGGGAAACCACTTCCAAAAATGATTAATGCCTCAAAGTTTAAAGGCTGCTTTTTTATTCCTCCTGTAGTAGTAGCTGATGAGAAGAGCCGATATCTGAATTATCTGGTACATTTTTTAATTCATTCATGTGTCCAGCAAGGTGCCTGCAATAGTCAGTGATTCCATTTAAGCCTTTTGTGTTATTTGCTTTGTACATGTACCTGATACAGAGCCGCGCTGTGCAGACCGCCATTGTCTGCTCCACTGATGGAGCTACAGCGGGACAAGGAAGGCGTAGAGGATGCTGGTGGCTCGCCAACAGACTGGTTTAAAACTTTCCGCTCCTGAAAAAGAATATTTTCACAAGATCAAAATAAAAATTAAATATCTATATCTATATATATATTCTTATTGAATATTAGAAAATGCTGAATAAATATAATTCTACAATCCTCCTCCACCTTTTCCTTAAGCGCCTCCTGTGCTAAGTAGCATTTCTTTTTCTCCTGTTCCACCTTCATCTTCTCCATTTCTAGCTGATTGTTGAGCAGAAGCTGGAAGTGGGCAAACAAAATAAAAATAGTTAACCAAAAAATAAAATACTTTTTTTTTTTAAAGAATTGTCAAAGGCATTTTACATACCTTTTCCTTCTTAGCTTCTTCAAGTATTCGACTGTGTTCCCCTCGCAAATTTTCCAATTCAGCATGTTCCCTACATTATATAAACAAAAAGTAAATTACTACAACAGAACATCCATTCAAAATGACCAGCATATATCCAGCACCACGAATATAACAAGAAAAGTTCGAGCCAGCCAGGAGTCGAACCTAGAATCTTCTGATCCGTAGTCAGACGCGTTATCCATTGCGCCACTGGCCCTGTTGGCCCTCTGCCGCCACCTACCTTACTGTCTAGACAACGCACATTCCAGTGGTTCAAAACACAGAGTGAAGCAATGTTTGGTTACAGTTTAGTGTCCAGGAATATTATCAAACCGTCAACAAAGAGTTTTAATAATTCTGTTACTTATTCAATTGGCACAAAAAATGAAAATGCTTATATTATTTAGTTCCATAACCACAACAAAGTTAAGATCTCTTTAAAACCTCACTGAGGTTTTAAAAAGATTACAATATTGTGAATTATTTTTCCTGTAAACTAACTAACAACACAGACTGACAACAGCATATGAACACAAACACACACACATATACCATAGTATATCATCAGTATAGTATAGTATAGTCATCCAGAGACATTTTCTCTTTTACAACAATCACAGCACATTAACTCCTCTGTCTGCTACCCTGCAGGTACTGTAAGTCCCGTACACACTGCTGTGGTCTCAAATATAAAAGACACAGAAGGACATCAAGACATCCTGGAGGTGCTCGAATAAACTTAAAAACACAACAGTCTCCTGTTGACTGCAGTTAAGCAGACATCAGACCACAGGCATTTTCTGAAAAATTTTGAAATATGAGAAGAAAAAAACTGTGGTTTTAATTCAAGGCACATCTGGGAAATCTGCTATTTAAAACATCTGAATGCTGCGTCCCTTCCCTGATTTTTACTATCTAACAATCACACCACAGAATATATGTATCAACCTCTTTTCTAGAAAAGTTGCTCTCATCTGCCTGAAAGAAATGCCATTAGGCTAAGCCAGGACTTTATTATTATTTAGGCTATTCACTAACCCAATGTTTAACAGCTGGAATATTTTTTACTGAGAATCCAGAGAAACCAGTACTGGTGTTAAGTTAACAGAAATGCTTAAACAGCAAACAATTATAGAAATGTAACCTGTATTATCTTCACAACAATTGAAATTTGATCATAAAAAATGGATAATGTAACAAACAAACTTTTGTCCCAAAAACAGAAGAAATGTTAAATGTTCTTGTGCCTGGTTGGTGAAAGTATTTTAATTGTCACTACATGAGTCGTCAGTTTATGTTGTAAATTATTACCTGCTACTCTCATCCTCCATTTTCTCTCTCTTGTTTCTCTCAGTATCAAGTTGTGTCAGGGCCTTGGCTTTCTCCTGGCGGAGTAGGGAGTTCTGGGATTCTAGGGAGGTCATCTGGGATTTTGTGGACAGCAGTTCTTCAGATGCTGAGCGCTCTTTTTCCACAGCGACAGCCAGTTGTGCTTGAGCATTTGCTAATAAAACATAACAGGGATCAACGGGAGAATTAAAACATGACTTAGTTCAGCCAGGAAATCTGCTTGTTGTGGCGCGAGCGTAATTCTGCCTTGTACCTAATCTGTCAGAAAGGTTTTTCTCCAGCTTTTCCCATGATGCCGTATGTCCACCCAACGTGGCCTGTAAGTTTTCAATCTGGCGCAGAAGGGGCCGCGTTGCAGAGGTAACACTGTGACTCAGCTCCTGGTTCCTGGTCTCTGCCTCCTGGAGTCTCTGCAGGAGATGAAAAAAAAAACAGACAAAATTGGAATATATGACACAAATCCTGCCTTGCCTGTCATGAGCTCAGTGCTTTGATGGTTAGCTGGTATGAAGTATATTGTTACCTTTTGAAGCTCACTGATCTCCTCCCTCAAATAATCCTCTTTTCTTGCCTGCTGCTGCTCAGCCCTCTGTAAGGCCATTCTCAGGTCAGCCACCTGTACACGGTATTAAAGGGGAAGTGGGGGCATGAATACGAAAGATTTGGCGAAGACAGAATAAACCTATTCATCTAGCTGTCTGAATTGTTTTGACATAAATCTCATTAACATACATCTATAATTAATATAAATATGTGCTGGTATGATACTCCTAAAAAAGACAAAAATGTAACACATATATTTGATATCCCCACCACCAGACCAAAATCTTTGACTACAGTAATAATTGTGCGATTCAGTTATTAACTCATTAAATCA